GAAACGTCGATCGCGTAGTCTGGAATCTGAATGCAACGGTCGACCGAATAGAACTCAGAGGTCGCCGTGTTTGCGGTTACAGCTTTCTCAGCAACTGATCTTCTGGAAGAGACGCCTCAGCAACTAATGCCACCTCCGTGCACTTGTTGTGTGAAATTCCAAAGGAGGAAACCGGCTTTGGAACTGGTAGATTCAGAAGTCATTAAACGGGTGGCAGGAAGTTGAGATTGTCCATAAAACATTTGGCGGCGACAGTGAAAGAAATGAATCAATTCCCCTGGAACTGATTTACGCAACGGGTAAATGACCTTGTACGTACGGGTGAGGTTCAACTCAGCTGTTCAGAAATTCAGAAATTTTTACGTAGCGAGGGCTAAATGCACAGAACGCATTGAATACTGTTGGAGATTGTGTCCAGGGAAAGAACAGATGTTAAGCATCTCCGCAGATCCAGACTTCTCATCCGTGCCATCTCAACCAGGACATTCACAATAATAGTTCGATTAAATGTCAGCCAGCTCGATCTGAAATTTTACTGTCGCTGTTTTATCATCGTCATCTGAGTTTGACACACTTTTAATTGCAGACTGACCTAGATCTATGAAATGATCTGATAGTCAGAATTGGCTAGAAAAATTTTTACCGTTCATTTTCGAAATACTATCGACATTTACACTTGAGGCCTTCACTGTTCGATGTGAAGTGAAAGCTAATAAAATAAGCTTCGGCGTTACAGCAGCTTCCAACCGAGCTTCTTAAGTAACGGTCCCACTGAGCCAACTACACCACTGTTTTAAGTCATGAAGTATTCGTGGGTGTTGTGAAGATTAAATCATGACCGACCTGCAGCTGCCAGACCTACGAACAGCCCTGATTAGCACTGTGCATTCGGTGGCGTTTCGTAGGCGGTGGTCATTGGCCAAACGATTACGTAAATCACGCAGGCTTCGATGACGTTGACGCCATTCGCCAATACCGGATTGTTTACTCCTCGTAGGCGGCGAGAGCGCAGCCGAATCAACTTTTACAGAAAAGTTTCCGAGATCCGTGTCCGTGTTTATGTTTACCTTTTCGTTTACCCTTTTTCGCTGCGAACAAGGACCGAAGTCGATTGTGAACGAATCACGAAGTTTCCCATGCGGATTGAGGAAAAAGCTTCTTAGTTACCGACGTGCAAATGGCGTCCGTTGAACAGCTGGTTGTTCAATTGTCCGGCATACCGGTGCTAACGCATATTCGTCAGTGCACACCTTAGCAAAGAATGTTAAAGGCTTGGTTTTGTGAGCTGCGAGTGCTGACACGACTGTTTACCTTAACGAATGATTGACATGTTGTTTTTGCACCCTGCTTTGGAGTAATGTTCCTGAAGATGGATGCAGTGCGATTCAAAACGTCTGGGTCACTTTTTCTACGACAGCTATTCGCAATAAGCCATTTGAACTGAACAGTTCTTGCATGTGCGCAGAACCGAAGTAGTGTTTTTGCGGCTGTGCAGCTATCAAACAAATTTAAGACCGAATGACGAGGTCGCACTTTTCTCAGCCACGCTACGACAAATTTGGTCGTGGCAGAGCTCCGTGTTATTTCGCGTACTCCGCGTACGAGCTTATTCTCGTGTTCTTGCTGTAGCACGTAAGGAATACCAGCTGCTGAAACATTTTTCATAATGACAGCCAGGTGAGTTTTGCGAAGAAAATGGTGTTCGATACATTTGGTCAACAGCAGCTCATATACCATGCAACCTGGGTGGGCTGTTTAGATCGTCCTATTCCTAGACAAGGCGTTTAATATGCCGTAAAGTCTGATCGTTAACGAATTATTAGTTGTTTCCTGCGCTTTCCATGCACTATGCGGTGAGATATAGAATATAATATGCCATGCATTGTCATCCTTAATTCCACTGATGTACACCATGCCACCGCCCCCGCTTGCCGAAAGCGGCATTTAAGCAGGCTAGGGCTCCGCGGTACCACTGACCTCGAGGAAAAAGGAATGGTACAATAACAGGCAAAAATTAGAAAGGCAGAGCTATCAATAATAATTATAAAACGTTTCGTCTTCAGTTCAGACTGATGGCAGTGTATGTTCAATCTTTTCACTCCACATTGTCCGGTTTTTGGCCATTCTAAGTATACCTTTCTTTCTTTTCTTTGATGTAATTTGTCCAGGGTTGCCTTGTAATTGTAGTGAGCTTGCTCTGCCTGAGGATAGACTGATGAAACAATTCAACACGCGTTTTTCAGTAATTAACGTCTACGATGTCTCCTCCAAATCGTTGCTCGTTTCATCGCGAACTTAGCCTTTGCAAGTCAGTGTTGCTCAGTAATACGTGCAACAAAATTGTCTATTATATCCTGGAAAAACTGGCACAGAATAGTTACTTTAATCGGCGGTTATCGATGACTAGGTTCCTCTACAAAATTCGACATTTTTGCTTCAAATGAGGGCAGACTGTTTCGTACTGTTGGCCATCTAGCGCGTGTCCGGATTGCGGATAAGAGAACGACCTCGAGATAAAGAGGTTATTTGCAACAAATAGGCAGCGGTGAGACCACCAGAGTGTGGCAGTGGATTCGAGCCCGACGTCTCAATGCCCAATGCCAGTCTTGTGTCGAGGCGAAACCGACCCGCCCCTTTGAAGAAAAACAGTCACCAATGTCACCTTTTGGCTTCCGATTAGACGTCGGTTCGTCAAAGGCTAGAAAAGATAACTTCGATAAAAACTGGACAAAATTGCGGGACCGGTTTGCACGAAATTCGCTCTGTCACCTCAGCCCTTCCGTCAGGTGGCACAACCTCATGCGCTATGACAGCAGAAGTAAATGGTCCTCAGTACCCCCTGCGCTTCTCTAGATGCGTTCCACGGTGGCTTTTCAGTGCTCAACAGCCGAGAATCAGACAGCAGTGCAAAGTGAAAGGCCGCCGTCTGGTAAAACGACCAGGATTTTCTTCGTGGTGTGCCCCTGCAGCTGTTAACGCTGAAGAAACGGAGGAAACGAGAATGAGACGTTAAACGAATTAACGAAAGAACGGCCGGATAACAGGCGGCAATCTTGGCCTTTGCGAGACACGATGGTGGAACGACTGTAGCTTCATTTTGCTAGGAAAAGGAGAGGTTACGAATACTCTAGAATGGATCGCATTTGTTGTCAGTGATACCTGGTGCCATGTAAGTCATCAAGACTGAGCGTGCTGTGTTTTCAACTTCCAGGTGTTGGTCAAGCCCATGAGTGCCTTGTCATTTGGAGATTTCAATGCCAAGGTGAAACGTTTGTCGGTAGATACGGCACTGCAGAGCAGAATGGACGAGGAGATTGGCTTGGTGAACTTGGCAGAGACGAACACCTGTGTATTGGCAACACCTGGTTCAAAAAGAAGACCAAGTGAAAGTGTACATGGTTCGCGTCCAACGCACCGACCAGCAAGTGGATCCACTTTGTCCTGTTTGACAAATGCAGCATCATTCGAGACATAGCAATGGTCCCATCGTTTCACAGACTTGTGCGGTCTAAGCTAACCTTCGAGAAGAAGATCAGATGCGAATGACTGCAAATAGTGAATCGCAGATACCGATTTTGGGTACCAAGAGTATTTATCTACTGATTTTCAGAGTCAGCAATTCTTTCACGATGTAAGGACAGTATTTCAGGAATTTTCAAATGGCTATGATCTTCTGCCAATCGGGCAAATACCACGTGTGAAGTATACAGGCACTATGATATCAGGTATTGAATACCTATCCTTCAACCCGCTGGATTGCGATCAAGCCGTTGATCCCCCCCTCCGCCAGTGGATGAAGGGAACCTGTCTTGTGCGAATCTGTTTGTCCACGTTCGCGGCACAAAATGTTGTCTTCCGCGCCTTCATATCCGCCTTGCTCCAGCAAATTTGTTTAATACCAGTCCGAAGGTCTTTCAGCAGGTCGTTCGCTGTTTCTTTTAATCCATTTTAATGTTTGTTTGCTGCAACGATGATCGGTTCTCTTGCAGCGATTGTCTGTTCCTCTGCATTTACCATCAGCTTTTAATCTATCGCAAGTATGATCTCTCGGTGTCAGTACACCTCATTCATCCGTACCACCAAATGTTAGTTAACTAACGGTCAACGAATCAGATTTCTGACGTTGTGTTGGACAGTCAAAGTCCCTTCAATAGCATTGAAAACAGAATGTTAACTCTTCTATGTTTCACATTGGAAATCTGTTGCGTGTTCTCCTAACTACTGTGACATTTTGGGTTTATTAGCAAAATATAGTTTTCGATCCTGACATGAAATAACATATTAGTAAATAAATATTACATTTGAATAATACGGTGTTCCGCAGCTACAGGCCAAGCGGGCCTGCGAAGCTGGTCACGATTTCAGCATATTATACGGATGTAAAACTCATGGGCATGTTAAGGAGGGGGCACGATCAGAACTTGCTGAAAATACCAGCAGAAGTTAATTTATTCCTGCCTTTATATCACATGGCTTACTTCAGCCGGCCAGACAATTGGTGAAGAATCGCGCCGGTCGCACCCCCTCCTCCCGTCGTTTCTCCCGGTTTCCAGCCTTCTTCCTCTAAGCGCTTCCTTCTCGACTCGTGACATAATCTTTCCATATCCGTCATGGGCGACCAAGCGGCCCAGCAGGCCTGTGAGGGTATCAGTGGACGACCGTTGCCGACCATTTCCCATCGGTGAGCCGAGCTCCGTGTCCGTTCGATAGTAGCTTCAAATTTCTGTTTACAACGAAGAAGACCTTCACACTTGTCCGGTGCCTCATCACTGGATTCTGGATATGGTCGCGATGTGAAATTTCCAACACTCTACTTTCCCTAGCTCTCTCGGTGACGGACAGGTGACGCTTTTCGGCTTTCGTGAGTAGCCACGTCTCATAACAATAAAATACTTCCGGCAGGTAAGTAGAACTGAAGAGGTGGGTTTTCTGATGTTGCCAGGGAAAACAATCTTGGTGGATTGGAACCCTCGCCAGCCGGCCCTTTTTTACCTTGAGTTTCTCCATCCAGATCTTGACGCATCTCGATCTCTTGAACTATGTCCATGTTTTATCGACTTCTTTTCGATTATTTACAGTTAAACAGTACCTCGGTGTTCGTCTTTGACCGATTTATTCACAGTCCAACGTCTGCATTTTTTCTCTTGAGCTCTTTCATCATGTCTTGTAGCAGACTGGCGTTTCCGGAAACGCCACCACATCGTCACAGAACTTTTGGTGGTTCAGCTGTTCACCGTTGCAGTTCATCCCCCGGAATACCATTTCTATACTAGCAGGAGTTAGTTTTGGGTCGATGGTGTGTTCTTGTTTCACGCTGTAGTGTTTTCGAAGCATCTAGACTTCGCATCCTTATCCGATCGATGTAATGGGTGCCAGTGCCTTGTTATGCCAGTACAATCCACGCTACGTCATATTCAATAGGGTCGAAAAGGCTTTCTCTCAGTCGACGAAGGCGATGCACAAAAAAGAGCTGATATTCCATCACGTTCCACGAGTTGGTCTGAGGTGACGATGCTATCCGAGCTGTTACTCCTACAGAAACCTACCTGTTTTTTCGCTGCAGTTCGTTCGGCCTTATTGACAGTCTCTCGGTGATGGTTTTAATGAACAGCTTATAATCTTGTGAAAGCGGGTAGATTTGGTGATATTTCTTTAAATCTTCTTTCTGTACCTTCTTGCACAGCACGATTATTGTTGACTCCTTCCATCTTGATGGAATCTTGTTCGTTTCCAGGTAGGCACTGAATCTTTCCGCTAGAGCCGTCCGCGCCGTCTGGCCCTCTACTGTGATCATTTCTGTAATTAGACCCTCACGATTGAGGCTCTTCC